CTTCCTTCCCAAAGTTAAGTTGAAATTTACTTAACAATTCTTGCATTCCTTTGTTCAAGGCTATCTCCCTTCCCTCATACAGAGTAGGTCAGATGTGAAGTTTCACAGGTGTGAAGTTTCAGAGTTTTTCTTCCGCTCTGAGATGAGTGATGGTATCCCCACTTCTCCCTTAAAGTTCTCCTGGCTAGTGTGAATTTGTATATTTGTACCTAAAAACGTGGGCACCCAAAGAGTCCCGAGTTACTATGCACTAAGTGAGCAATCCGCCAAGCGCTGCAGTGTGAGCACCTCCCTCTCCCCCAGTTGGCGAGATGAACCGCTCATCAACGCTGAAGGAGATTGAGAGTTTGCAGCAAATGGGAGTAGTGGATTGTCTTCAACCTTCTGTTGCCTTGAAATACCCGATGCCTGTAGACGTAGAGATGCTTTCCTATTTAAAGCAAAACTATAGAAGTTGAGTACTATAATGGTGGGGTTTTTTGCCTTGTAAAAGCTTCAATATAAGGGTGTGTGTATGTGTATGTATGTATACACACACACACACTCTTTTGGCTTGTGTGATGCTTTAGGTAAGACTGTTAATCTTGTGTAATGTAATAGAGATAAAAGCACACGATCTCCGTTAGACTATGCAATTTACAATTTTTTGCCTGTGACTGGCATCTATGTTGCTGGCCTCTCCAAATTTACAATTGCTTTCTATGCTGGCACCCAGTTGTTTTTTAATGTTATAGAAAGCATTCAAATGGTAGCTTTTATAACAAAAGAGTGGAGGCTTTTGTAACCCAAAGGAGGTGATATATATATATATATATATTGCTATATACATTGATATATATATATATATATATATCATTTTGAAAGTTGTTTTGGTTTAACCAAAGTTTGACCACAATTTGGCGCTCCTTCTAATAAATGCTTCATTAGAAAATGGAATTGCCATCCATTGTAAACCAAAGAATAAAAGAAAAAAACACAATTGCTTGGATGCAAACAAATCTTGGGGGGGAAAACTCTATTTTTGATACATAGAATGAATGTCATTCCTTGAGGTTTGAAGATCGTTCAAATTGAAATTTTCTATTTAACAGTTTGGGACAATAATGATTTAAGACTAAAAGTTACATTATAGATGTTTACAGAGCCTTGTATTGTAATTTCATGTACATTTGTGTATTAAACCTTTTGTAAGTTATGATTGCAGTGCTACATGCAGAAGTACAAAGGGAAAAAAGCATTATAGGCTCTTGAATCATAGTGTTGAAATAAAAAAGAAAATGCATATTAGTGTCTCTGTCTTTATTTGCCTGTACTCATTAGTTCCGAAGAATGAGGAGAGGAAAACCATTAGCTTTACAGTAGTCATACCATTTTTGGCAGTCCTAAGATGATGCAAGAATTTGTCTTCCTTTAATATGTCTTCGTGATTGACTATAAATGGACTGGACACCAGTCCATTGCTAAAAGTAGAAAAGTAGGATTTGCTCCATAATTGTCTATTTTGCAAGAATCCGTACATTTGCACAAAATGAGTGTATTCTTCAGAAGGTTGTAGGTTTCATCTCTGGCATTTTTTGTTTCAGGAAGATTGATATAATCAGGCATTGTAAAATTCCTACTCAGAACAGGTATGATGGGTAGTAATTTTTTATATAATCAGCTGAGTAGAAAAAACAGCGATTGGTGAGATCTTTGGACTGCTACGGTATTATCTTCCAAAACTGACATGAGGGGGCTTAAATTAACTTGTAGAGTTAAAACGTACTTGTAGCCTCACTATGGCCTCTAATATGATAGATTCTGTAGTTGAGTCTCTCTTAAGAGAATGTGTTGGTTACTACTTTGTTCATTGAGCTGTGGGGACCAGGTTAAATGCTTAAGATAATTTGCATAACTTCTTCATGAATCTTGTGTTCCTCTCTGTAATTCAAAGAAGATATACCGGCATGTCATCTTCTTATCTTTCTCGCCTTCTCTCTCTCCTACCTTCTCCTAGTGGTATCTTACGATTTTATCACTTGTTTGAATCTTACGTTATGATTGTATCTCATGCCTTATGATCTATGACTTACCACTTTGTGTGTACACTGAGAGCTTATGCACCAGAGACAAATTCCTTGTGTGTCCAATCACCCTTGGCCAATAAAGAATTATATGTGTTTTTTGAAAGATAATGGATGAAAGGCACATAACAGCCCAATCCTGTGGATTTTGATTCTGGAATGTCCCATAGCAATTGATTAAATTTACTCCTAGGAATATAGATGGGGAACTTCAATCTTAGATTTGTGATGGATCGGAGTTGAATTGGAGCTTTACTACCCTGTGGCTTAATACCTGCTTTGAATGTTGGGTCTACCCAACATCACATCTTCTCCCATCCTCAACTTGCATGAAATAATTAAGGGCAGAAGTTACCAGGTTACGGAAAACTGGCTTATTCTTATTCTTGATTTGTGCACCATGTTTTTTTTTTTAATATTAACAAGGGAGTGTAGTTTAAAAAAAGGGGTGAGATAGAGTTTTGAGTTGTTATCCATCCTTTAATCCGGGGCTCTCCAAACTTGGCATGCTGGCTGGGGAATTCTGAGAATTGAACTCCACAACTCTTTCCACCTTCTGAAGAGAGCTGCACCCAAGTTTGATTCTGTTGGGGGTACAAATTAGGATTAGAGACCTGGTTTGTCTAATATCTATGTAAATACATCGAATAATCAAGAACCTTAAGCTGAGCTGAGCTCCACCAATGTGCTTTCCTTAGTTGCCCCACCTTGGGTTTTGCTCTTTCTGGTGGCCTCCCATTCCATTCCTAACCAGAGCTGACCCTGCTTAGCCTTTTTTGAGATGAACTAGGCCCTGCTGCTGGCTGTGACACTTTTAAAGATAGTCGTCTTAAAATAGAAAGGTTTTTTTTTTAAAAAAGATTTGCTTTAAAAAAAGAACAGAAGCGAAGCGGCTTATTTTAGCAGCTGCAAGCAGCTGCGTTATTTAGGTCAGTGGCAACTGTCAGACATATCCCACCATTCTTACAAATTCCAGGGAATTCACTCCTTGCCTGTTACGGGATCCCTTAACAGATTGTGGAGAGTTGTGGGATTCAGAGCAAACATGCCTGAAGGGATTGTGGAAGTGAGGCGGCCAGCCAGAAGCTGTTACTTCTGCCTTTCTTCCCATTTGCAAGTAAAGAAGTGAGAGAAAAGTAGGAGCTTGCTTTCATAAGCAGGGGTCTCCAACCTTGGCAACTTTAAGCCTGGAGGACTTCAACTCCCAGAATTCCCCAGCTTGCTGTTGGCTTAAAGTTGCCAAGGTTGGAGAGCCCTGCTCTAGAGGGAGTATCTGGGAGATTCGTGTCCTTCTGCTCCTCAGCTGTAGGATTTTAATCTCCTCCCAATACGTTATTCATGGCTGTGGCTATGAGTCGTAGCAAAGGAGGGCACCATGCTGATTGTGGTTGCTCTCAGAACAGCTGTTCAGACTTGGGTCACCCTGGGGAGGTAAGCTAGGCTGGCAGGTTGGGAAAATTTCTTGGAAGTCAACTTTTTCCACCTTGTGGTGGAGAAAGCTGTGTGAAAACCCAGGATTGAAGACAGATTTCAAAGCAGGGCTGTCCAACCTTGGCAACTTTTTAAGATGGGTGGACTTCCAATTCCCAGAATTCTGGGAGTTGAAACCCACACATCTTAAAAAGTTGCCAAGATGGGAAAAAAAACCACTCTTTTAAATCCATGGGAATTGAATAAATAATGATCCCAACAAAAGCTTGCCTGCCTGCGTCAAGGCTGCAAAGAAGATTGGGTGAGTTGAACTGTAATTGCAAGTCCGTTGCTTCAGCCTGTGTACCGGAATCCTATAGATCTGTTCTAGTTAGGTTAGATCTGCCCAATGTTTTGGAGATCCAGTATGAAGGGGACATCTAGTGGTGGGATGTGGGCATTGCAGAGGTCTGCCTAGAGCTTAGAAAAATGTGATTTTTGCATTAAGATTTGCCTAGCAAATAGATAGATACCCTTTTATATAGAATGACAATAGCTAGTATTGCATCATGGCCCATGGTGGGAACTGGGCGTCTTCAGATTCTTGAGTTTTCAAATGGGCCAAGGCAGGGCTCTGTTCAATAGTAGATATCAACAGCTAGCAGTCCATTGATAGAACAGATGATTCCCCAAGCAAGAGTAGCTTGTATCCATTGTGTAGTGCAGCTGATGCCAAGCAGAGGACTGAACATCTTAGAATGGGCAATTTCTCAAATAGAAAACATCTTCATTTTGCAATGAAGTGTGTGCACCTCTTCTATTTGATAAGATTTAGTCCCCCATTAGATTAAAGCTGGCCCAAAGCCAGCCATCCAACTTTCATGTCTAAGGCAGGACTAGAACTCACCGTCTCCTGGTGGTTGGCTCAAAGACACCCAGCCAGCTTTCATGCCTAAGGCGGGACTAGAACTCACAGTCTCCTGGTGGTTGGCTCAAAGACACCCAGCCAGCTTTCATGCCTAAGGCGGGACTAGAACTCACCATCTCCTGATGATTGGCCCAAAGTCACCCAGCCAGCTTTCATGCCTAAGGCGGGACTAGAACTCACCGTCTTCTGGTGATTGGTTCAAAGACACCCAGCCAGCTTTCATGCCTAAGGCGGGACTAGAACTCACTGTCTGCTGGTGATTGGCCCAAAGTCACCCAGCTAGCTCTCATGCCCAAGGCGGAACTAGAACTCACCAATTCTTGATTTCTAACCTGATGCCTTAACCGCCATACCCAATTGGCTCTCCAAAGATTAGTTAGGCAGTTGTATTAACCACCTATAGCACATGTGAAAAAGCTCTTTTGCTACATCAGACAAACTTTGTGCTGGAATTCAGTTGCCGATAACCAGTGCGGCACATACTGTACATGCTGTATGCTAATTAAATTACCAGTGCCACACACCCCTCCCCCCCCCAAAAAAATACATTCTTTATGTGCAATTTTGGTTTTAATTGCAAGAAGCTAAAGAGACAAGTCCATTTTCCTGCAAGCGTCTTTTATTTCTTATCATATAAAGAAGCATATATCAATTCAAGGCCGGGCACGTCTGATCCCCTTTTAAGTACTACTCAAGAGTTCTTTAACAAAAAAACAAAAAAACAAAATCCCTGCATTCACAGGTACCCAAGAGTCCAATTTGACTCAGTCTGGTTTCCTCCGTTGTTATTGCACATTTCGAAAGAATCCTGATCAAGGCACAGTTAAAAACCAAAATTATTTAGTGCTTGTACAACAGATGTTTCGGCACACACTACAAACATAAAACTATGTTCTTTGAACATGTATATACATATATTTAAAAAAAAACATGCACTAATTAGACTTAAATTTCAACTTCTTTGCTGTGTCATAATATACAAATGAATATTGTAAACAAATGGCATGCATGTGAACTAGAGCAAGAACAAAATACAGTATTTGAGCACTATGATGTTTAAATAAAACAACATATATAATTTACTAGTCCTCAGTGTTTACGTGCCGTCATTGTCCTACTAAGATTCTACTTTTGTTTTAGTTTACAGGTTGGCAGTTTGAAAATTAGATATGGCTTTACTTACTTGGATTCTACCTCACAAAACAAAAATTAAAAACTGAAAAGCTTATTTGGTCATTTGATTTGGACACCACTTTTTTCTTTCTTTTTAAGGAGAGGGAACGGGAAAAACAATTGGATCTTGACACCTTTCAACCAAAAAGCTTATTCTGTCATTTCACTTGGACATTTTTTTTTCTTTTTAAGTAAGGAAAGGGAACAGGAAAATATAATGTTACTTGACACCTTTTTTGGGAAACAAACAAACAAAAGATTCTTCTCTTTTTGATGAGACGGAATTCCCTTCTACTCCAAATTAGAGAAAGAGGTTTGGCAAGTCTGTATTTCAAACAAAACATTTTTCTCTCCAAACGGGGAATGCAAAGTTGTTTATATTTTAAAAATAAAATGAAACAACAACAAAAAACCCTAAAATCTACAGCATTTCAGTAGTTCAGCTGAGTAGTGTTTGTCTCAATAATATTTGAGCAATTAATCCTGCTTTTTTTTCGGGAATAGGTGTCATTCCTTCTCCCTTGGCTGATCTGCTTTGGGGGAATGTGGCTCGGTCCTCCAGGAGGAGAAAAAGGCTGTTGGGCAGGGAAGACACGGCTGCTTTGAAGAGGAAAGAGGAGATTTGTTCTTGTTCCCCGCACTCGGATCCACTGGAGGGGAGGGTGTCTAGATAAGGCAGAGGTCCACACAGTGGCCCCCCAAGAGGCTTCCATTTTGCTCAGCCACAGCTTTCTTGGCGGAGTCCAGGCTGGGAAAAGAAACCAGAGCTTCTCTGCTGGGCTGACCGCTGAAGTTGAAAAGCGGGAGGACGGAGTCTGCATGGAGCTGCAACAACGGAGGGAAGAGGATCAAAAGGGTGGCCGGGCGCAGGTGGAGACAGAGTGAAGGGGACAGTCATCTCAGCTTCTCTTCCCTCCTGGAGGCAGCCAAGAAGGTGACAAGACACTCCCTGGAGAGGCTTACCTGGGGCGGATGTGAACTAAGGGCCTGTTAGACCTGGTGGAGCTGAAGTTACTGGGCAATAGGTAATCCCTTCTCTTGATTCCATGGATCTCCTGAGATGAGCTGGGGAAAACCCTCCTGTATCTCACACCTGAGCTTCTCGAGTTCACCTGCCAGGTTTTTACTCCAGAGCAGGCATGGGCAATTAAGTTTCCCAACTTGGCCATATGAGAAAATGGGACTGTTACGGACGGCCAAACCAATAGGGCTGTGATGGTGCGTAGGCACGCAAGCACACCCATACGTAAATTGGGGAGAAAAGTTGCCTACAAAGTAAAAGCAATTCAGTTCTGGTGTGTGTGTGTGTGTGTGTGTGTGTGGTATTCAGCTTTGTTCGGGTATTTTCCGACGTCATTATAGTTGTGCTTTTAAAGTTGTAGCAACGTTTCGGCAGAATCTCATCTGCCATCATCAGGCTTCTGTATTGTGTTCATCTGTGTTCTGTATTCTATATCAGACGAACCCAATACAGAAGCCTGATGATGGCAGATGAGATTCTGCTGAAACGTTGCTACAACTTTAAAAGCATAACTATAATGACGTGGGAAAATACCAGAACAAAGCTGAATGCCATATATATATTTAGACACATACACATACACACACATGCGCGCACACTCACTGACTAAACCACTTAGAGAGGGCTGTAAAGCACCCTTGAAGCGGTATATAAGTCTAAAGGACTAATGCTATTTCCACTCATTTCCAATTGACCTTGTGTCGGCCAGACAGGGTATGCCAAAGGGCCGGATGCGGGCTGGGGGCCATAAAAACACCCAGGTCTGCTCCAGAATATTGTTGGAAATTAAAATTGGAAGCTGAGAGGACCATGATGCAGAAGTCACAGAACCCTCTCTGAAAACCGACCCCATGCGAAACCATGCACTGCCTTGAATAAGCCACAGGTTGGTCTGTCCACTATAAGCCTTGGTAACTCCTACAGCCCCTTTCAGAACATAATTTCATTTATCAATAGAGAAGGATATTTGTAGCTCAGGCTCAAAATGAGGGGCTCCTTGGTGCTCTCTGAACTTGGTTCTTTTCTTGCAGGTGTTTCATTACCGCATTAGCTCACTAGTATTGATGATGATACCTAGTTGGGTCACGAAACGTCTGCAAGAAAACAACTAAGCTCAGAGAGGAGTTCTCAATTTCATTTATATATATACTGCCTTTCTATCCTGATCTTTAATTTCTAGAATTGCTTACCTGTGGGATCCAGTTGGTAATCTTTAGTCACACACTTTTAAGTCACCCTCACCCCCCCAAATAGCAAACATTGAAGAGGCCATAGAAGAGAACAAGCGGTAATGAACATTGACTTAAGAAGGAACAAAGCTGATTTCACATAGCCCACCCCACCGCAAAAAGAATTGTTAGACCAAAACAGTTTGCATTATTATACTCTCAGCAGATCCAAGATAACCTCTGCCATTTAAACCAACAATTTGAGGAAAATACAGGCAGTCCTCAATGTACGATCATTCATTTACTGACTGTTTGACGTAACGAAAGGCATGGGGAAAAGTGAGTTACGACCAGTCCTTGCACTTACGACCACTGGAGCATCTCCACAATCAGATGATCAAAATCCAAGCGATTCTCAACCATCCTGTGTTTACAAGGGTTGGAGCATCCAGAGGCAGTTGTGCGATTGTCATTTGCAACCTTCCCAGCTGGCTTCCGACAAGCAAAATCAAAAGGGAGGAAGTTGGATTTGCTTAGCGACGATGTGCATCACTTACAAGCATGGTGGGAAAAAAAAGGACGTAAAATCGGGTGTAACTCACTTAACAACAGAAATTCTGGTCCCAATTTTCTGGTCGTAAATTGAGGATTATCTGTAATGCAATGGGTTGTGGGTTTTTTTTTTTTTTGCAGGGAAATAACTCATTTTGCAGGACTTCTATTCAACAGTGTCTGTCAGGCATAATCATTTAGCAAAACACAAAGGCAGAAAAAAGGCCCTTCTAGATTTCAATGATCTCCCCAGAACTGAAATCAGCATCTTTGGGAAGATCATATGAGACAATGGCTCCAGTCCTGGGTGTCCTATATTTAATCTGCCTAAGAAATAAACCCATTTCCTGAGTTTGTGCAATACACTGAACCAAAAGCTAACCCCAAAACCTGGGTTCAAAACCTGGGTATATGTGCTAAACTATGTTCCTGTACGGTGAAGATGGCTTGTCTGCCACATTAGCAAGCAAGCTGAGTTTGAAGTTATTTAAAGAAAGTACAACTTGAATCCAGACTTACTATGCGTGTTCCAAGATCAATTTGACAAAGCTAGAGCAGTATTTTTCAACCTTAGTAACTTTAAGATGCATGGAATTCTGGGAATTGAAGTTCATGCCTCTTAAAGTTGCCAAGTTGAGAAACAGTGAGCTAGACAATAGGGAAAACAAACCATGGTAAGTTCATGTATTATAGAAATGCTCGGGTATCTTAAATGTAGCCTGGCATGTTTCAAATAGTCCACAAGGATATAATGCACGCAAGCATGGTCTTCTCCAAGCCGAGAAGGATTCATCTGCTAGGTTGGACATTGCTCTTGGAGCTAACACTGGAGGAAAAGGGAACAGCAAAAACAATATCTCTCTATGGTAGCTGCTTTGGCAGTGGGGAGGGAATTGGATGCATGTCCACACATGTTCAGCGTTGAGTCCGCCATGAGCTCCTGTTGCCCTGTGTGTGATGGGCAGAGATCTACCAGTAGTAGAAATTTAACAGTTATCAAATAACCGGTGTGAAGATGTCAGTTTTCTACAAAAACACCCCAGCATGTTTGAGGCAGCGGACTCCCAAATGATTGGCTCATTCTTTTGAAGAAGCTGAGGGCTACGAACACTTCTACCATCATCTGCTTGACCAGTTAGCAGCCAGACTACACAAAGCAGATCTGAAACCTAGGCAAATGGATCCCCAACTCTTAACTAGTCACACCGTACCCTTCCTAAACTGGTACCCTACAGGTGGTGGCTGGGCCTTAAGCGTTCTCAAGACCTCTTGGGGTCTCCAAGCGGGCTGTGAGAAATGGAAGAACCACCAGGACACCAATTAAGTGACGCTTCCTCTTCCTTCTGTCCCCAATATTTTGCTTTTCCTGCTCCACATCTGACCACAGGACCCGTGTGGGAGAGTGGCCCACACAGCTGTTGATGGCTGCAGGAAAGAACCGTTGCTTCCCCAAAACAGCAACAACCCCAACGAATGAGAGAATGCCACACCAACTTCAAAAGCCCCAAACCTCCCAACAGTCTCCTAAATGTTCATCCAGAAGCAGAAGCACATGGAGGCGTTCAACATCACCATTGGGTTAGTGGAGTCATGCGACGTGCCCAAGCAAGGAAGTGTTAAGAAAGCATAATCCCATCATGAGCTAGGAAGGGAGGATGAAAAGTGATTGGCTAATTTGGGGAATTTTTTTTTGGTTTGAAAGAAAGGGAAAAGGGAACAAAAAATCATCTCCCGCGCAGAATCATTTCCATTCACCACCAAAGAGCTCCGCTTCAGCCAATCCAAGCTTACCTTCTCTGGCGGTTACCAACACTTACAAGCAAACCCAGTCTTTCGGTGCTTGTAACACGCCCCTTGCTTGGTCGTTGAGCTGAATGAGGCCATTGTAGTCATCGGGAGCATACTACAGTACAAGCGTGATACAGAAGATCAGCAAGAGAAGGAGCGGGTGGCAAGCCACCATTTCCCCCCATCAGCACTTGCCATTTTTTCTTCATGGGGAGTGGGGGATGGGGGTGGTGGTTACAGTTTCCATCAGCAAAGAAAGTGAGGGAGGCCTGCCTCAGAGCTCAGCCCAACAGGGGATGGGTTGCAAACCTGTTGGAATCGGCTTCCAAATTTTCCAGAGAAATTGGCCACTGAAGCCAGCAAGTATTAAAGCTATTGGCCATTGCTTAGATAGGGGTTTGGGGGGGGGGGGGGGGGGGGAATCTGCAAAAAAAGTTCATTTGTTAACAGGTACATCTTCCTAGCAGCAAGTTGTTTTCATCTTGGTTGGTTGATGTGCCAGGCTTAGCCAGCATGTCAGAAAAGCTGTGGGAAAAGGCAACTAGAAGTATGAAGAGCAAAAGAGATGGGAAAACCAATAGAAAGCACCACATGGCCATCACGTCCAGATCGTCCGCAGGTTTCTCCCACGCCAGCTGAATGGCGAAGTTCAGAACCCAGGGAGACTTTAGACAACAACCGGAAGCAATGGAAACCAGCTACAAGAAACTTCCTATTAGCAGGTTCTTCTCATGCGCACAAGAAGATTGGAAATGATTGCCTTGGCTTTAAAACACAATGCAGGATCAGAGTTGCCTAAGCTTCTAGCAAATGTATGTTTCAGAAAAGGTGGAGAGATCCGAAACTACGGCTGGATTATAAATTGAAAAGAACAAGCCAGGGCCATAAATGCTTTCCGAGAAGGAAATCAGGAGAACTCATTCACCGAGAAACCATGATTTCCTACTGCATCGGCCATGTTATGACAATGAACACAAGAATTCCAATCTTAGATTCATTTGGGGCTCATCTAATCAAAGGTTCTGTTTTCATAATGGTCTGATAAATACATCAAAGCCGTAAGCCAGCATGAAGTGAAGCGTATCTTCTCGTACATTTTTCCAGTCTCTGGAAACAAAATATCTAGGCAATAAAGTTGAGGACTTCCTGGTGGTCTTATTTCAGCATGGTTTGGAAGAGGAGGAAAGGAAGATGAGAGAGAGAGTGAAAGAAATATTGCCTTTACCTATAATGAGTAGAAAAGGGAAAACAACAGGAACATCTCTTAAATAAAGGAGAGAGAAAGGAAGGACTACCAACATTTGCCTTCTAATTAGGAAGAAGAGGAAGAAGACAGGTGAAAATACCTTAGAACGAACATGGTCTCCCCACCCATTTTCAAGAAAAGGGAGATATGGACACAGACAAGTCAGTCCCTTGGTCCCAGCCTAGCAGCTTCCTCAACACAAACCGTAGGACAGTAGACGCCAGTGCGTGAGGCAGATGACTTGAGATCATCACTCACAAAGTTGCTTTTGGTGACACCATTCTTGCTTGGTGTGTTGCCTTCTTGATGCCCACCCAGATAATGAGGTACAACAACAAGAGAGCAGAAGAACGTAAGTGCTTGTTGGAGAATGTATCCTGGGCTGGTTGCTTCCCAAGTAGCTCTGCAGCAAGCAAGACTCTAAGTCAGGGGTCTTCAAACTTGATAGCTTTAGGACTTGTGGACTTCAACTCCCAGAATTCCTCCTCCAGTCATCTTAGCTCAGGAATTCTGGGAGTTGAAGTCCACAAGTCTTAAATTGCCAAGTTTGAAGACCCTTGACCTACGGACTGAAATGAACCTGTCTCTGTTGGCTTTGTATAAGGTTGGGAAGATGTGGCTGCTTCTCCAGGCTAGGGGTCTTCAAACTTGATAGCTTTAAGACTTGTGGACTTCAACTTCCTGAATTTCTCCTCCAGTCATGTTAGCTCAGGAATTCTGGGAGTTGAAGTCCACAAGCCTTAAACTTGCCAAGTTTGAAGACCCTTGCTCTAAATCCACAGGGAGGGCCATCATCATCATCATCAGTAGCAGCAGCAGCCATGTCCCTGGCTCTTCCCCTCCCTCAGTTGAACCCCCCAACCAAAACTCCTGTTTCTTCTCCTTCTCCACTCACTCAGCAATATCGGCAACCAACGGCTTAAGTTCAAAAGCAATCCAAGATGCAGAAGGGCTTCCCTACCCCTTAAATTGTACAGATAAATGAGATGCTAACAGACACAGAGACTAGTTGGCCAATTTATATTTCTCAACCAGGTCTGCTGTTGTCCTTCAGTCACTACACGGAATAACAGAGTTGGAAAGGACCTTGGAGGTCATCTAGTTCAATCCCCTGCTTGAGCAGGAGAGTCTATTCCAAATATTAGCCTCTACCTAGGATCGAACTCACAGCCTCTTGATTGTGAGGTGAGAGGATTAAGATCAAGGACAAGAACCCAGAACAGAAGGACTGAAACACAAAGGAAAGGAGGACTCAGGGAAAGTGTACCGAAAGAGGTTGCAGCTATTTTCCCCTTCCAGCATCTGCTTCAACTTGTCTCAAGAGCAGGGAACTGCCATTGCTCCTGTCTGCCATGGTCATCCCTACATACCAATATAGGAGCTGATGCAAAATCCTCCTGGAAGCTTCCGTACTGAAGCATTCTAGCTATGGGGCTGAATCGGAGGGACTGGATTAAAGACACGCGTCGTGCCCGAGGGAGGAACTTGGTCCTTGGTGACAGTCCAACCCCTTCACCATGATACCCCACTGGCTCTCAACAGCCTCCATTTCCATGAGTAGCCATCAGCCACAAGGTTATGAGAGGGACAACGTCGCCTATTGGTCAAAGTAACTGTCTTTTTATGGCATCTAAGGCTCATTCTCGCCTTGGGTTTTTTTCACTCAGGGAAAACCTACCCCAAGGCAAGGTTGCAACCTCAACGTCTGGAATACTCAGTGTCTGAAATCTCAATGTCTGGAATACTCTATCTGACTCTGTGGTTTCTTCCCCAAACCCGAAAAACTTTAACCTTAGACTGTCTACCATTGACCTCACCCCTTTCCTAAGAGGCCTGTAGGGGGCCTGCATAAGCGCACCAACGTGCCTACTGTCCCTGTCCTACTGTTTCTTTTCTTTTTTATTTTTCTTATATGTATCCCTGTATTCATAACTATGTTTTTACTTATACCTACTATCTTGTAAGCAACTGACAAAAATAAATAAATCAAATAAATAAAAAATTTGGTACAAGCAGAGCAATGTTTGAAGGCCCCTTGAAACACAATACGAGCCCTTCCCTGTGCCACGAGCAAAGATGCCTCACCAGTTAATACAAGAACATGCCACGAGAGGGCGCCGTCAAGCAGGGCATAAATAACTTTCAAGAGGAAAGGCTGGCGGGGGGGGGGGGGGGGGGGGGGGGGGGGGACTGTGACTTTCTCTGTTAGCTTCCGGAGGTGCTAAGACTGCAATTCCCATAATTCCTGAGGGAAGAACCGGAGTTGAAAGGTTGCCCAGAGGAGAAAGCAATCTCAAAAAAAACCACAAAAAAAACGTGTACTTTTGTCCTTGTTCACAGGAGGAGAGGCTAATCAGAAATCAAGATTCATTTCACGAAGTAATGCAAGGAGTTAATCTCCCCTTTCCACGTGTGGCTGTTGTATTTCACACACACACACACACACACACACACACACACACACACACACACACAGAGAGAGAGAGAGAGAGAGAGAGAGCACAAGAAGTAGAGTCAGTCTCAACATAGACCATTCTGTAACCAAAATGGGGATTATGGAAAGCTTAGGAAAGAATCCCAAACTTTGTAAAAAAAAACCATTACTTTAAAAAACATTTAACTCATTTTAATATTTAACCTATAGAGTCCAATAAAGATTAGGCACATTTAACAGCTATGAGGTGTGTGTGTGTGTGTGTGTGTGTGTGTGTAACACAGAGAAGGAAACAGGTCTAGAAAGAAAATAACAACAGGAAAGTGAAATATCCCCCATTACTTTCTCTGTTGCTCCAACCAATGGAGAGAATATTCGTAGCTCAGGGTTGAACTGTGGTGTCCTTGGGGCTCTCTGAGCTTGGTGGTTTTCTTGCAGGTGTTTCATGACCCAACTAGGTAATCTCATCAGTGCCAGAAGGGAGTGGGGTTTGCTCTCTATTTGGTAGGAATGGCCACTTGTGGAGAGGGGTTTGTCCTGGGAAGTCAGGGGATTGGGAGTCAATTGTGATTGTCCCCCAATCCTCTGGCTTCACTGGTACACTCGCTCTCCCTAAACGGAGAAGAAAACCTAAACCAGGATAAGATGCAAGAAGAAGTAGTTAAAAGTGAGGACAGGAATGCATATTGTGCCCCAAGGGGGAAAAAGTGACCTACGGAGGAGGATCAAAACTCATAGTATCAAAGGTCATTTTGAAGATTAAAAAGACCCAGCACCTTAAAAAATGGAAACAGTGATTTTAAGAAGAAAAAGTCACTTTCTCCACCAACTAAGCCACGCCCACAGAACCGGTTGTTAAAAACTGTGAATCTCACCCCTGGACATGCCCACCGTGACTAGATTCATCTTATAAGAAGAAAGTGAAGGCACTCACCTGGTACCCTTGGAAAAAGCTTAGGATTTCCTTCATTCCGGCATTGTAGGGCAATCCTTGCATCCGGACAAGAGCGCCTGCTTGAGGGACCATAGGAGTGTGGGAAGCTGAGGCGGCGGCTGCCACAGCAGCTTGAGGAGCCGTGATGTAGCCAACTGTGGTTGGAGACACTGGAGGGCTGAAGGAAGAGGAACAGAACATGGTGGTCGAAGGGCTGTTGTTTCCCAGATGTTACCGCATTACTTGGATCAGAAGACTCTCTTCAACAACGTCTTTCAACCTTGGTGGCAACTTTTAAGATGTGTGGATTTCAACTCCCAGAATTCCCCAGCCAGCACTGGTTGGGGAATTCTGGGAGTTAAAATCCACACATCTTAAAGTTACCGAGATTGATAAAACTTCTTATAAAAACATGGGAATTGAATAAATGATTCCAATAGCTACTTGCTTGCAAAGAAGGTTAATTAGATTAGATTAAGATTTACGGAGTTGGAAGGGACCTTCTAGGTCATATATTCTAGTCCAACCCGCTGCCTAAGCAGGAGATCCTACACCATTTCTGACAAGGCTCTTTTGTCCAGTCTCTTCTTGAAAGTCTTCAGTGATGAAGCTTCCACAACTTCCGAAGGCAACTTCTGTTCCATTGATTGACTGTTTCTCACTGTCAGGAAATCTCTCCTTCTTTCTAGGTTGAATCCCTCCTTGATCAGTTTCCATCAATTGTTCCTTGTCTGGCCTTCAGGTGCTTTGGAAAATAGCTTGAGCTCCTTTTCTCTGTGGCAGCCCCTCAAATACTGCAAGACTGCTCTCCTGTCTCCCCTGGTCCTTCTCTTCACTAGACTAGACATGCCCAGTTCCTGCAACAGTTCATCAAATGTTTAAGCCTCCAGTCCCCTCATCATCCTGCTTGCTCTTCTCCACACTCTTTCTAGAGTCTCAACATCTTTTTTATAGTGTCATGACCAAAACTTGATGCAGTACTCTAAGTGTGGTCTTACTAAGGCTTTCTAGACTGGCATTATACCTCCCTTGATCTTGACTGGGTGAGTTGAATAGCAGAAGTTATTACAAATCCATTATCCCAACTTGAGCACCAATTTACTCCTCTGAAGATGCTCCAGTTAGATTAGATCAGCCCAGTACTTCCAGTAATACTAGATAACATGTTTTGGGACCTGAAGTCCACACGTCTTAAAGTTGCCACCAAAGAGTGAAAAACACTGCTGGACAGAGATCCTCTTTGGAGCCTCAGACAATTTGCAAATACATGGGTATTTGTTCATACCCATGTATTACTACTATCTTCCAGTGAAACATATATGTCCAACATAGGTGCTACCTGATGGGCAGACTTCAACTCCCAGAATTCTCAGCAAACTCTCTAATGGCCTAGAATTCCGAGTGTCCAAAATCCACAAGCCCGGTGCAATTTGGCAACTTCCTACTCTGTCCACAAACCCTTTTGTGACTAATTGATTCTGCCATGATGCTCACAAGCAGGCAACACTATGATGCTTACAAAGTTTGGGAATTGCAGTCAACATAATCTGAGGGCATCGGGCTAGGGTTAGTTGGGCTCACCTTTGCAAGAATGGCTTCACATACATTTCTAGTTCTATCATTTGCTTCTAAAACAGACCTTGGATATTATTTTCTTTGACACGTCGGCCAACAAATTTTACTAAATTTTGTACTTCTTTTTTTTTTTTAAAAAAAATCTTTTTGTGATACTGAAAGCACTAGTTCCCTTCTTAACCTTACAATAAACCCTGTCAGCTCACTTTCTACCCTTTGAAGGACAAAACAGGAATGCACAAAAATAAATTATGTCCCAGGGCTATGTAGCAGCTAGAATTTGAAGGTGAAAAAGAGAATGCAAGGACAAACGTGTAGCAGTGGCTTGCAAACTCTGTAAACTTAATGCAACTTCTCCTCCACCATGCACCAGCTATGGGTCATGGAATCCTGGGGAAAAACCCCAACTGAATAGCCCTTCTCTGTCCCAACAGACTTGGTGGTGGAAGAAAAGTTTGGGAAGGCCTAGAATTGGGCCAAGGTAACTGTTGAGGACACATAAGTATTTTTAAACAAATATGGGGCTGGAATTTTGTCCAGCTCCAGATCTTCAGATAATCTTTATTAGCTTTTGCATTTATTTACAAGTTTGTTACCTTCCCCAGTCCAAAGATAAAAGCAAGCAAGAGGATTCAAACTCCTGCACATGGGCCATTTTGGCTGCCATACAGAGGATTGGGGCTTCAATATTGCGTAGAAAACAAAAACTGGCCAAAATGGCCAAACATTAGCTGAATTTCAAGCAAAGAACAAGGGCTCCATTACTGGAAGTTTTGAAGAAGATGCTAGATAACTACTTGTCAGAAATCCTATAGGGTCTCCTGCTTGAGCAGGGGGCTAGACTAGAAGATCTCCAAGGTCCCTTCCAACTCTGTTATTCTGTTAAATAATCCATGATACTGAAGACCCGGCTTCAAATTTATGTGGCGTTTTGTCTTTAGTTGAGGTGTTTTGTCTTTAATTACGTTCTTCAGAGGTAGAACTTCATCCCACCTGGACCTTGAATCAACAGTTATCAGTTCTCTCCATTCCTTGAGATCTTAAATGTTAAGCATCTTACAAATGCATTTCAAGAACTGCAAGGACTAGAAACTTAAAAAAAACCCAAGGACACTTGAAACTTGAAACGAGTTGCAAAGCTTGGGTCCCAAAAACGTAGCAGAAAAGTCATGCGCCAACGTTCAATAGTACCTGGGATAGTAAGCGGTGTAATTCATGTAAAGTTGAGCCGCCTGAGTGGGGTAGTAAGTGACAGCTGGAGTGACAGCTGCTGCAGCCGCTGCAGCTGCAGCTGCAGCTTGTTGAGTCCTGGTTGGAGGCAAGAGGGCTTGTGATGGGTATATAGCAGCTTCTGCTGGGATGACCGCGGTGGCTGCTGTCTGAAAAGCAGCGTAGGTGGGAGGAGAAAGGCCTGAAGTGGGAAGATAAAGCAAACCAGGGAGCAAGTCAGCCACAGGGATTCTGCTGGGCAGCTGCCGTTGACTTTGGGGAAAAAAAATAGACGGACAAGGGGCTCGGGGATGCCTATCAGCTAGGAGGGAAAAGCAACAGTTCCCACAAAGCGCCCTGGTCTGCTTAGTGTATTCCGAGTCATCGTTTTAAGGCTTTCCAAGGTTTCGCTTCTGGGCTCAAACGTGTCTCGCTGGAATGGCAAGGCAAGCATCCGAAGGCCCTAACTGTACCAATTTCAAAACAGAGGAGTATAATCTCTTCTGTATCAGAAAGCAGCAACGATCGGTCTTCCTGCAGTGTTACTCTGAGCTTTAAGCCGACCCTAAAACAAGATGTAGACTGGCAGAATTTCTTCCTTTCCTTCCTTTCCCTTCTCTTTCCTTCCTTTCCTCCTTTCCTTTCTTTTCCTCCTTCCAATTCCCTTCCTTCCCCTTCCTTTCTTTCCTTCCTTTCCTCCTTTCCTTTCCTTCTTCCCCTTCCCTCCCC